TATAAATGAATAGATTGGTATCTGTTATAATTTTATACATTTGGAAGCTTTCTCAGATGCAAAATGTGAAATTAAAAGAATACAAAAATTCAAAATGGCGAATCCAATATGGTGGACACGAAAATCAAGAAATCAATCTATTTTCGTGATACCTGGTGACCTACTGCGCTTTTTATTGCGCGGCGAAAAATGAAGGGACGATTGACTATCTAAATGGTGATCTATAAGATATTCTTCTGAAATAGTAAGCTTGACGCTCTGAATGATAAACTTCACTCACAAATATTGTAAAGTTTCAGCTCAAAAATGTCAAGCTGACTATCAGAGTTATGTCATATAGATTATCCTTCTCTGCAGGCTCTGCAGGCATTGCTCTTAGATTATTTTTCTCTGCATAGGTTGCTCATTTCGTATATGCTTTTAGGATCCAAGTCATATTTACCAATAAACAAAAAGCGAACGATAAAAAAGAACCAATATAAAATTCTGATATTTTTTTGGTTATCACTACTTATAGTCTCAGTTCAAAAAAATTCAAATTTTATTCTTAAAACATCTACAAAAAAAGTCGGGCGTTAAAGGGTTAATCCGAAGAGAAGAAAAGATAACTAGCGGCTGTGGCCCTGAGGCGCATCGGTTATCGTAGACCCCTTCTTGCGATATTCGCGGCTGCTTCGCGGCTCCGACAAATGCTTGAGGCTAATCCCACGTCGGCTTGCGGCATATCATTAATCCCTATTGTAACAGCGACGACGCGACCTCAAACTGGCCGCCGAGTGCACTCACTCGTGGTAGGGAATGAAAGATCAAGCACAACAGCAATCCCGAAAAACACGCGCAGATTAATATATAACGCACGCGATTGTTGTTTGCATTTAGTACCTTGCAAAGCGAGTTCTTGCCCCGTCACCTTGGCACATTCTCGCTTCTCGCGCGCCTTCGACTCCACTCCTGTTGACGTACTGTTCCGCCGCTCGGTGCCGATAGCCAGAGCCTAACGATCGCTAATTGCGACCGGTAATTGTAAATAGCGATGAGTAACAGATGCGGTGAAACGATAGCGACAGGAGAATGCGAAGAAATCTCTTTAGACGAGGAATTCCCTTTTGCTGGGAATTTTAAAGGAGTAGACAAGGTTCAGAAAAGTAAATGAACAAACCATATAGAAAGAGTTGTTTGTAAAAATGTAAAGATCGAGAATTTTTGGAGCAAAAATTAGAGGGGTTAAAAGTCTATCGAGAGAAAAAGGACGCACCTGACTGTGTGTGTGTGTGTGTGTGTGTCGATTGCGTTATTCGCGCCGCCGTGCGAAACTAATCGAGCGAAACTCGTTGGTCGAAAGTTCCTGGCACCATATCGCGTGCGACGTATGTGCAATTAGTTTTGTCTCGATTGCTTATCAGGCATGCTTAAAGTCGCTTATTCCGGCAGCGATCACGGCGAGGTTCGCGTTTTAAGGGGGGACTGACATGCGGAAGGCCGTTTTCAAGGCTATTTTTACGAATTTTCTTAACAGAAACGATAAGATCAATGGACTTGAAATTGTCACGCTGTATTCATTACTGTTCAAAGTATGAATAAATTTTATTGAACCACAAGAACCGATCCAATTTGTAATTATAGATAAGAATGCAGTCATCCATTTGCGAGCTCGATGTTTGCTGTCGACGTAATTCCGGGCCTCTCACTCCACTCTGAAACCAAAATGTGAGAAAGATTTTTAAAATATACCGTTGCCATTATAGCCTGTACCAAAATGAAGGCAATGAAGCCAAGTTTGGAAAAATAATGACTATACAAAAAAAATATATCGACACATGAAACTTTTTTCAAACTTGTAACTATGTTTAAAAAAATGAATAAAATAAAATATAACTGTGTTCGAGATAGGAGCGAAAACTACACGTCTATTGTTGTATTGTGCAAAAATACCAAGTTATTCGGTTCAGTAGTTTTTGCGTTCCAGATAAACACGTTTAAAGTTTTATGTATACTTTCCACATATACTGAGAAAAAATTGTATTAAAATTAAAGAAAATCTTTGTTCGAATACGACTGTGAATACATTTATTTAAATTAAGCAATTACTTTCTAAAATTCAAGAAAAAAGTTTACATTCAGAGAATCTCTATATTTCATTTTAGAAATTAGTCGCTTAATTCGAATAAATTTATTCACAGTTGTATTCAAACAAAGATTTATTTAATTTTAATACAATTTTTTCTCAGTGTAGATAGTAACACATTTATTTTATACTTTGAACACTAATGAATACATTCTTGTTCTTGAAAATTTCAGGTCCATTGATCCTGTTTCTGTTAAAAGAATTCGTAAAAATAGCCTTGAGAACGCGGCCTGCTCCGCATATAATCCCCCCCTTAATGACGCAACGCGTACGCAGTATACGCCTATAACATCCCAGATTCACTGTTTCATCCGCTGTTTCATCGAGAGGTCACGTTGATTCCATTGTGCGTTCTTGCAACTTGTTTGTCCAATGGTTTCCCCACAGGGTCGGTGAGTGTGGCCGGGCCGATATCGGATCTCCGCGATGAAATCGACGCGCGGAAGCCGGACGAGGTCGTGGGGGCTGAAGAAACGAGTGAGCACGCGGAAGAATATTAACGAAAAAAGTCGCGAACGCGATCACATCGCCGAAAGCCGCCGACGAAGCAGTGTCGACGAAGAAGGAAAGAAGCGCCTCGGGGTCGGTTCGATCGCAATCCTTTGATCCTCGCACCAATGTCCCGCTGATTAGCGCAGCGTTATGAATTTATGAGCCCGAGCTTGTACTCGAGATCATAACGAGCGACGTGAGTAAACACTCGAGCGACTAAATTCTTCCGAGTGCGAATGCGATATCTATCTACTGTTGTTCGTTGTATCTGGTTTTACGAGTTCTTTACGAGAATGCCTTTACGAGAGTGATCACGAACGAAGATCGTGAAAACTACTACTAGGTGTCCGCTTTCAATGAGTGATTCTAAACGCGCGGAGATACTCGAGTGTCGCGAGCAATGACGCGCGATTTCTACTCGACCGAAAGAGCAGTCGATCGATGAGACTGCGATTGTTTGTGCGGGCACATTGCGACATTGTCATCTTCCGTCGCTGATCTCATCTTCAATATCATCTTGAGTCTATCTTCGGACGCTTATAATTAGCTGCGTGTGATTCGAAGATCAACCTGAGACGATCTCAACACTTTGTTGACCGGTCAGGTGTTAATTCGTGGTTGCACCTGCACCCGCTTGTGCAAATTTTAAGGGAAAAGCTAAGACTAGGTGTAAATAGGTAGATAGGTTAAGGTGTGTCAACAAGGTGTTGGGCGTACCCTCGAAATTTCTCCGAGCGAGATTCAACGCGAAACGCGTGAGGGACGACTGCCGAGTCACTCGAGGCTGAATGACTTTTCACTCATGCGGAGTAAATTCTTCCCCCGAGAAAATGATCGAGTGAGACCACTCAAGGGACTCAAGAACGAGCCTGATGCGCGCCGCGCATGGAACAAACTCGCGTTGGTCGAGCGGAACCTTCAGACCGGAACCTCAGAGCCGGTTGTCACAACTTCTTGATAAGTTAACTGATTGTTAAATCGTCTGTTTGCCTTTGTTTCCCCTGCAATTCCCTCCAAGACAGACATGTGACTTAACCATCAGTTAACTTCAGATTTGGAGCAAGGAATTGAAACAACAACCGGCCCTGACCGACGAGGAATCTACTCTCTAAAGTCGAATTAAACGTCCATTTTGGCGACAGTGGGAGGACTACCACGCTTCCACGTGGCGGTCCTCCCACTGTCGCTTCGAATGAATCGTCATTCTCTCTCCGAGCGACACGTCGTCCCAAGAAACTTGCAGAGTAAGACCGAACTGTGCACGAATACCACAAAGCGCGCGCCAAGCGGCTCAAGACTCACACGCGACTGGAATCCCTCCAGGTCCGCCTGGCGGTCGGCAATCCGCCGTGCACGCGGCTTCGTCTGCGCATTCCGCTTCTTTATCTCCTGAGAGCGTACGCAAAGTATCTGTGCGCTTCACTCGCTCCTGCAGGACCTCGCGCGAGCATTCGCGAGGCGCAGCGCCGTCGCGCTTCTCCGCCCGAAGGGCGGTGTTTTCTGCGTTTTCACCTCTTTCCTTTCCCCCCTCTCTCTCTCTCTCTCTCTCCCCCGTGCTCTCTCTTCTCGCTCGTTATCAGACTCACCGGGATGACTTCACTTCCGCATGGGGCAGAACGCGCGTACCGCGTGCACGGTGCGTGCCGATTTCCCTGCGCTCGGTGACGACGACGTCGCTGGCACGCGGTCGCGGCGTGACGATAACGTCTTTTTTTCCTCTGAGACAACGCTTCCGCGATCGCGCCGCAGCTGCTCTCGCTGCCTTAAGACTCACGTCGGCGGCAACACACACGTGCACGGCTGATCCGTGAGAGAAGAATGCGCCGGGGGACGAGAGCGACGTAGCGGGGAGATCGCGACTCACGGCGCGGCGTTCACCTCGCCGTCGCCGTTCCGTCGGCGACGCGCGGCTCGTCAAAACCCGCGCAAAGTGCATCGCGCGTTTCAAAAGCGCGCTCGCGATCGGTATCTGTGGTCATGGTTACTCGCGCGTGCCACGATCTTTCTTCCGACGCTCGCTGTCGACGTGGCTCGTACGAAACGAAAGAACGAGGAAAGAGACGCCGCCGCGCCGCACCGCGCCGGCCGCGGCGGCGGTATCTGTCGAGCGGCCGCGTTAGACGGGGAATCGCGGGTGAAGTCGATATCTCGGGCGGCGTGCGGAGCAGGGGGATCCCCGTGTTTACATCGCACAAGCGGGTAGCGGCGGCTACGCGACGCGATCGCTGGCGGCTCGTCCCCGTCGTCGACGTCGACGACGTCGGAGGTAACGCGGCGGCTGTGGGGGCGGTCGGCCGGTCGTCGCGCGGGGGGGTTGGTCGAGAGGTCGCGGCCCCGTCATTGATACGGTTATAGGGAACGTACTTTGGACTAAATCGTCGCGCCGACTAAGAGGGATAAAGCGCGACGGCGTTGCGTCAGTGTCGTCTCGGCCACGCAACGCGACACAACACGCCGCCGCACCGCACCCGCACGACGTACCGCATCGCGCCGGGAAGGCGATCCAACGCAACAGACGTTCCTCTTCTGCTTTTCCTCTCTCGCGCTCTTTCTCGGTCTCGACCGGCCGGCGGGATAAAACGCGGGGGTACCATGGACCCCAGCCAAGAGCGGCAGTAAACGCGCCCGAGGGAGAACGCTGCGAGGAAAAGCGAGTCGCGCGCTCACCAGGTGATCGAAAGAGAGAGAGAGAGAGAGAGAGAGAGGGGGGGAGAAAGAGAGAGAGAGAGAGAACGAGAGAGAGAGCTGCATCTTTTGCTGATCGAGCTCTGTACGCGTCGCTTGCTCGCACGTGACAGCGGTGTGACGTGCCGCGTGCGCAAGGACGAGAGAGAGAGAGAGAGAGAGAGAGAGAAAAAGAGGCAACGTGCACAGTCTCACAAGACATTGGCCACCTTCTCATTCTCGCGCGCTCTCGCAAACTCACGGCGAACCACCGACACCCACCATGTCCACAGAACCGGGTAGCTTCACCTCCAACGGCAGCATGATCGTCGTGAGCAACAGGTTGCCGTTCGTGCTAAAGAGGAACGAGACGACCGGTCAGCTGGAGCGCAAAGCCAGGTTAGTGGGACTCCTTCCTCAATCTTCTCGCCCTCCGCCGAGGGCCCCGACGAGTCAAGATTGCCGGGGTGGTGCGCACCACCCCGGTCACCTTGACCTCACCGCGAGTACAGCCGCGGTCACACTTGCGAGCTGCAACAGTGGCTGATTCCCCCTCGCCGCTCTATTGTTCGCTTGTATTATTACGACACTCGCGTCGAGCGCACTGTTAAGCTTTCCTCGCTGGTCCGGCGCGATTTTCCCTCTCGATGTTTCCCACGGCGATCTCGCGCACATCATTTTCCCGATGCTGTCTTTCCCCCCTCCTCTTTCTTTCTCTTTTTGCACTTCTCTCGCGCCACTGGAACATGTAAAATGGCTGCTTCGATTCCGCAATTCGCTCTATTTGCGCGCTCGCTATCTCGTTTGTACATCGAAAGTCGCTTCAGTTTCAAGCCGAAGCAACACGACGTGACGCAAGTGACGGAACCCGCGGAGCACATTTTGCATAAACTTTCACATCGTCCGGTGCGCCGCGTCGGTGATAATATACGATAATATATGTATGTGCTTGTTCTCTCTTACGCTTATCCCGCGCCGCCAATCTCTCTTGCGCTCCTGGGCTTGCGATCGCGACGTCACGTCAGTCGTAACGCACATCGATCGCAACGCGCGAAACGGTCACTATGAGCGTTCTTGCCGCGAGTTTGCGACTCCGTCGTATTCGCCTCTTGTTCGCCCGCACTTTTTCTTCCCCTCTTTGCTTTTTTCTCTACTTTTGTATTTCGCTCGCATAATGCCGCTGTCAAGATAACGGCCGCGATGCGATTGTGTATCGGGCATGGAGTTACATCAAAGCGTGTTATCTCGCCCCGGCCGTGTTTTTTAATAATCAAAATGTCGCCGATGGAATGAAGAATCAACGTCACACGCAACATCGGTCTTACGATCGTCAAGCGACCGAGAAATCTCGCTCTCTCTCTCTCTCTCTCTCTCTCTCTCTCTCTCTCTTTTTCGTGTCGCTCGCGATAATCCGTCGAAGCATCCGTCCCTCGTTCTCGAATCCTTTCAGAGACGAAAAATGTCGGAGCTTTTCGCCGGGAAGTGCTCCAAGCGCGATTGTCTCAGCTTTGCCGCCAACGACTGTAGAATTGCTACAAGTTCCAAGAGAAGAGCTCTCGGACGACTTTGCCGATCTTAGCTACACAAATTTCGAGGTCACACTTGCTTTAATCGGAGCTGCTGATCGATGTCACGAGGGACCTCGTACTAGTTCGACGTCTTGATCCTCCGAGCCGAAGATTACGAGGCGTATGTGCGTTTCTGTAGAATTTCGCGCAGGCAAATTTGGTTAAGAGGGAGAGAGGGGAGCGGGACGCGTATGCGTCTCGTACGCACAGTGTACCGAGAGTAGCGATTACTTCGGAATAAGACAGGCGCGTCGTATCAGAAAGTAAATAACACGACACGCACATAGTTGACAACAACGGATTGCTGAAGTAATGATAGCGCGATAATTGCGAATAATAAAGTTCGCTCGAAACTCTCGCGCGTGTTTGAAGAATGATAAACCCGCCTGCGGCACTCCCGACGGCAAAAATAAGCGCGTTTGACAACGGCAACTTCGAGTGTTAGACGCGCGAAATATTGTCCGTCGAGCGCGATCATTTATCTCTCGCTCGGCTTTCGCGTCGATCGATATGTCGGGTCAAATTCATGAAGTCAAAGGTCGAGAGAATATCCGCGGCTCGATCAGGATGTCGCAAAATCCGCTCGAAAAGCCGGTCGCTGCGACTGAGGTAATTAAATGGGCTCGGAGCTTGGAGAGATGAAAACGCGCGCGTATCAGCCTGACATGGCGCGAGCGTCTCTGTCTCTCCCTCCCTCTTTCTCCCTCCATCTGCTTTTCTTTGTCTCTTTGGCGAAACAATTTATTTATGAACTTAATCTAATCGTGTGGAACACACACGACGATGACGCAACACGTTTCCCACACCGAAAAAAAATATTCTATTTGTTAAGTGATTTTTCACATAGTCTCATATTTTAAGCGAAGCCTTTTTTACAGAGGAAGGATTCCTCTTTCGATAAAGCGATTAAAGTACGAAGCATTCATCTAAAATTTATTAGATATTATTCCAACTGTTTTCCTCTTATTTCAAAAGGATTCCCTCTTAACTATGTTTCCCTTTCTTTTAACTATGTTTCATATAATTATGATTATGATGAACATCTTTATAGCAAAGAAGTCTAGAACAAAACTGATTGGAAATTTGTTTGTTATGATGATCTTGTTTCATTCGTGCCTACTTATTGTAGTACTGAAACCAGAAGTACATCTATATATATATATATATTACTTTTCGCTATATACATTATAATAATTTTTTCAAATTAATTAGTATAACCAGTGAGAATAAAGTAAGTACAGTAAGAATAAATAATAATCCTCCTAAGAGAAGATTAAATAACTTATCTATAAGATAAGAGGAAATTTATATTAAAATCAATAAGATTTGCATCATACATATAACATATAATTCTTCTAACTTTAAGAATAATGTGTTTATAATATTTTAACTCGTAATCTTAGAGGAATCCTCTTGAGGCCGTATATAAAAGTAAAATCCTCTCAAATTTAGAGATGATTCCGCTTATTCTGAAATTACTTTCTTCTGGGTGTTATTTCCCGCCTGGAGCACATCTCGCCGACTCCTCCTGGAGCTCTCGCTCGTGAAGGTCAAAGCGAAGGCTACGCCCAAGGTCGCTAAATCAAGCAAATCCGCGCGTGCAATATCGTTCGGAGAAAGTCGACCGAGGTTTCGCGACGACCTCGATCGGTCCCATCATCTATCATCCGATGAGCGATCGGATGTTACATGAAGAAAGAGACGCGACAGTGTTTGCCAAAGTTCCCAAACACGATGTAAGTGTGCAATTCCGCGTATTCGGCTGCAATTTTGCACGCAATCGCGCACAAACTCCCTATGCTAGCTACAACTTCAGCGCGATGCGCTCGCAGCTCGATCATTTCCAAGGTGGAAGAACGAGCCGCACGCGTGTCGAATCTTGCTTTGCGGCCGACTTTATTCCTCTCGCGACGTTGTTCCGCGACTGGCGTCCCTTAAGCCCCCCGTCTACATAACTCGCAAGCCGCAAAATGCAGGTCGCAGACGCACAAGATACGCAAAACGCACTCGCAGTTCGCAAATCACGTCGCGGAGCGAGTGTCCACATTGAACGCGAAAGTGGTACGCAGCATATAGAAGGTTATATCTGTGTCTATGATGGATCAACATGATCTGTGTCTTGTATATTTGGTTTTGACATTAAATGCAGCAGCAATAAATTTATGTCAACTTGCGACAAAAGAAAGACGAAGATGGTGGGTTAGACCTATAAATCGAACTCGCCAAAAACACTTCCTTATTTTTTGCATATAAGCCATCATTGTGATACATTAATGTAATTAATTGATGTATTCTTTCAGTTGTCCAATAAATATTTTCGCCCATAATTTCAATATAACACGCGAATTTATACAAAAAACAAACCACAAAATAAGTCCGGCTTGTTTCTCTGACAATTCGGTCGATGACTATAATCTCACATTCTCCGAAATATATTAGCTGTGATCGGTTAACGCAATCAAGACGCAACCGCAGGAACAACCGCAGAAAGTTAAGGCCATCACACGTAGAAACATTTTAACCGTAACCGTAAGGTTGTAAGAAAACTGACCAATCACAGTCGATCCTTTCTCTTGTGACATTATAATAATCGACTGTGATTGGTCAGTTTTCTTACAACCTTACGGTTACGGTTAAAATTTTCCTACGTGTGATGGCCCTTAAAGTTGAACCAACTCGTGACGCGAAGCGCGAGTGCGACTGCGTATGCCTTGCGTGCGCTGATACGTCATATTGCGCCTGCATGTGCGACCTGCGTTCTGCGTTCTGCGAGTTATGTAGACGGGGCTTAAAACACGCGCTTGCGATCGTCGCGAAACATCCGTGAAATATATTGTTCATGCGCGGAAAAATAGCCGGATAACGAGACCGTGTTTTGCCACGTTCACGTGCGGCGCGCGCGTCACGTACGTCATGCGACAGACGCAAATACCAAGGGATTTTTCGACAAGCCGCAATAACGAGCGTGCATAATCAGCAGCGGGTCGTAATTAGGCACGTGTCTACCGCGTGTCCGTCGCTTGCGACGTTCGCGTGCGGCCCTCCTCTGCCGAGGAGCCGCCCACGCGGTCGTACCTTGAATCTCCGAGAGCCGGCGAAATTGCGCGAGATTATGGAAAAACACTGGGCCGGAATTGCTCCTGCCCTGCTTCCACCTCTTTTCCTCGCGTGTGTGCTCTTGTAATCCGCGCCGAGTGAAGCGCCGAAAGACGCGCGTGCCGGCGCGGCGATTCGGTGACGCGCGCCGGCCACTTGTCGCGGTGCGTACACGCGCGAATCGCGGCATTTTTACGCGAGCATGAACCTCCGCCGGCCAATAAGTGCCGGCTCATCGGGAGTGACGAATTGACGAGCCCGGTCCGACCGTCTTCTCTTGGATCTCGACGATCCTGCGAGACGGAGAGTGCGCGAGTGCGCGAGCCGCGTGTAAATCGGCCAGCCTCGGCCGCGGCTGAAAATCGCCATGTCGTATTTACAAACAGCCTCGTTTGCCACGTACAGCCGTCGCGATTACTTGCAAAATAGAGAACACCGACAGTGATAAGGAGCAGAGCGACACGCGCCCGCGTCACATCGTGCGTATCGTGACCGTTCGTCCTTCTTCAACCCGCGCGAGAGAGAGAGAGAGAAAGGGAGAACCCGCCGCGACTCGGGATGGAAGCGAGGAGGACACCTCCAAGCCGGAACTTCGATAAAGGTGCTCGAAATTAGCCGAAACTAGCCGGTTCTTCGGTCGTTTTCGCATTGTGTACGCTCCCCGAATTTCTTCGATTGAGATTCCACTCGAGAAGCAAGTGAGGACCGGGAGGGGTTGGCTGTGACCTTTCGCTCATATCTCCTACGAGTTCTTCGCAACATCCAAACAAAAGTAATTTCAAAACAAGCGCGGAATCGCCCGAATTTTAGAGGATCTTGTTCTCATATATAGCCTCAAGAGGATTCCTCTGAGATTAAGAGCAAAATATTATAAACACATTATTCTTAAAATTAGAGGGATTATTGTGTTCTATGTATTTATTGATTTTATTGATCTTAATATAAATTCCCTCTTATACACAGATTATTTAATCTTTTTTTAAGAGGATTATTATTTATTCTTACTGTACTTTACTCTTATCGGTTATATATACCAGTTAATTTGAAAAAATTATAATGTGTAGCGAAAAATAATATGTATATATATATATATATATATATAGATGTACTTCTGACTCCAGTTTTACAATAAGTAAGCACGAATGAAACAAGATCATCATAACAAATAAATTTCCAATCAGTTTTGTTATAGACTTCTTAGCTATAAAGATATTCATCATAACTATAATTGTATGAAACATAGTTAAAAGAAAGAATATATTATTCAACTTCTTGCAGTAGATTACAAACTTTGACCAAATATGGGTAAATTACGTATCTTCGTTATATGTCACAGCAACACACATACCTTCATTAAAAAGCGCTTTTAAAAAATATTCCTTTTCATATAAGAGAAAAATTAATTGATGTAAGAGGGAATCCTGTTGAAACAAGAGGAAAACAGTTAGAACAGTATCTAAAAAATTTTAAATGAGTGGTTTATTTTAATCGCTTCATCGAAAGAGGAATCTTTTTCCTGTAAAAAGCTTCGCTTAGAATATGAAACTATGTGAAAAATCACTTAACAAATAGAATATTTTTTTCGGTGAAGGAAACGTGTTGCGTCGTATGTGTTCCACACGATTAGATTAAGTTCATAAATAAATTGTTTCGACAAAGAGACAAAGAAAAGCAGATGGAGGGAGAAAGAGGAAGGGAGAGACAGAGACAGCTCGAGACGCGCATCGTCTTACATCCTCTCGTGTATTTTATTATATCAGAATATAATCGCAACATTTTTCAAAAAAACCAGCGAACTTTGGCCCTTTGTACGTAGATAACAATGCCTGACCGCAATGCCTCGCCGAAGCTCGCTTTACATCGACGATGATTCACCGAGTCCTGCAATTAGCGGGATGTTACAAAAACGCACGCTTTCTTTCGACCGCGGGTTCTTCGGCAGTCGGAGGTTTCCTTGCCGGACAAAAGCGAGCGACGATAATCGCATTAGCGTTGCGTAAACGTCGAGAGCGCGCGGCTTGATAAATCGGAAAAAACGGTATCACGCGCGATTTCACGACGGGACAAAAGGAACGGCCGTAATCCGCGGCCGAGAGTTCACGACGCTCTGTCACGCGTTCGCGCGCGCCTGCTTTTGAAAAATCTCCCGCTGGCCGATCACGGCCGACCATGCACCAGGTTAGACGGGACGAGACGATAATGCGTTAATGACGCATTATATAAACGAGCTCTTCGCCATTATACTCAATGCCGCGCTCGCGCGCAGAGAAACGCGCCTGCTAAATGTACGATCAATTAATCACGATTCCAGCGAAATCCTCGAAATGCTCGCTTCGATTGACACGTCGCGCGATGGCTCGGCCAGCCGCGGCGATGCCGAACGAAGTGAAGGCGACACTCGACACTCGCTACACTGATAGAAAAGTATAGTTGAATTAACTACAATCTCACTATATTTTGTAGTTCATTTTGGCGTCAACCGTATTTTTATAGTTCGTGGAACCTGCAAAATATAGTAGAATAAACACAAATATATAGTCAATGATTGTCTGAAATAATTGTTTAGTTACTTTTATCACATATATGGTAATTTCTCATTCACAAATATAGTGAGTGATTTAATATTCATATAGTTACATCTGTCATCATTTAGCAAATATTCTGGTAATATTGACTATTAAAAAGAGTTACTTTACCTACTATTTTATATCTGTATCCATACAATAATTTTAGCTTAACTTACTTACTATAATTCTTAGTAAAAATATTATATGGTTGGTTATACTATGCCTGTATCGTAATTATTACCGATATTATGGCAATAATTACTTACTATAAATATGATATTTCGGACTAAAATTCAGTTACTATATCATTATAGTTCCAAATCACATATACTTTTCTCTCAGTGTACGTTTAATTTTTTAAACGTTCTGTCAAGTGTGTTTCACGCACGGCAAATTCGCGGCGCTCGACATGTGTCAATCGCGCCTTGAAATATTCATTGCGCTCGCGCACGGATAATCGCACGTGCGCGTGCGGCGGCCGCGGCGCGGGAACTTTTCGCATTCCAGATTACGGGCACGTTTGCTGAATACTTGGGCGAGTTCCTTGGCGCGCGCGAGCACTCGCGACCTCAAGCCGTTTTCGCCGCACCGTCGGCACCGACGTCTCCTGCTGTTGCGCAGTTCCCTCGCGCTCTCGCGGCGCGTTCAAGCATCTGCGTTGGAAATAAAATTGCTTTGAAAGTGGCAGTCTCGCCACGCACGAGCAGCGCCGTGTTGACACTCGTTGCATATACATTATTGCGACTCGCGGCGCGCGCTTACGACGGCGACTTTGGACCGTCTCTTGTATGTTAATTGTCTCCGTTATCTGTCTGTCTGTCTGTCTGTCTGTCTGTCCTTTCCTGTTGCACTTTGACGGGAAACGCGCATTGTTGGATCCGATAGAAATCTATCGGACGAGACATTTATCGCGGCTTACCTGTGCCGGTCGGCTTGCCGATTTCTGCTGCTCAATTGCGCGCATTCGCGGTTAGTCTCGTCGATTGACGAGCGTATTGACACGTAGCTCGGATGCTATCGCTCGACAATCGTCGATCCGTTCATCGCTCTATTAATACGGGCGATCCGATTGAGACAACGGACGTAATTAGAACTCTGCGCTCGTAGTCTCTCTCTCTCTCTTTCTCTCTCTCTCTGCGAGCCGCGGTTGAACGTCGCTGTCAGCTGATCGACGCTATTACGACCGCCCGGGCGTTTTGTAACGTGCAATTGCGCACGAGGCGGTCTAGTTTTTGCAAAATGGAGGCTATATCTACACCGGTAATTAGATATTTTCCATCCGGATCTCTCTCCCTCCCTCTCTCTCCCCCCCTCTCTCTCTCTCTCTCTCTCCCCCTCTCTCTCTCTCTCTCTCTCCCCCCCCTCTCTCTCTCTCTTTCTTACATTGCTGAAATCTTGAAGAGACAAACGTAGGAGCGCCGCGGTCTTCCCGTCGCCGACTCAGCAGCGATAGAGCTCTGCGCTCAACTCAGTGGTTGAAAGAGTTAACCGTTTCACTGTTAGCGGGAAATATACTTCTCACCTTTTCTTGATTCAGTTTTGCGTTGTAAATCACATAATTTTGAAGAACTAATCGGGGACTTGAGTATTCCAGAGAACTGAATAGTTGTTCAACATACTCCAATAGGTTTTTATACCCAATTATTCATTTGTGATTATTTATAACAAATCAGAGTTGAAAAAAAATGCTTTTTTTAGGAAAAAATCGATTCCTCGGAGAGTATTGTATGTAGAGGTCTGAAATTTTCACCAAATATTTTTCTGATGTTGTACAAAAACATATATTTTTTCAATATTTTTTTGCAGGTTAAATTTTCTTTTATAAATAAATATTTCTACAAAAGCGGCCGAAATTTGATATTTTTGCACTTTTTAGCTTTATTTCCTTAGTTTTTTCATTCTGTATCTCCATCTTACCCATACTATCAATATTATTTTACTCAATATATATCATCGATAATAATCGGAATTCTTATCAATTTCGTATATTATGGTCGCCATATTGAATCCGCCATTTCGAATTTTGCAAGTCTGACTTCAGACTCGGTCAATAATCAGCGACCCGAAAAACCCGTACACCATCAAGAATAATTGGAATTTTCATTAATTTTGTACATCATGATCGCCATATCGAGTCCGCCATTTTGAATTTCGCAAATCTGACTTAGATTCGTAATTGGCGACCCGAAAAAACGTAGGACTACCAAATATTTTAGTAATTTTCTCAAGGGAAGTTAATTCAACAGTGAAAGGGTTAAAAGGAAAAAGTCGAAAGGAAACAGGAAGCTAGAATCGTCTCTGCATACTCGTATTAATCCACTCTCGACCGATCCGCCCGTCGTTCACGCTCTCTCACGCAAGTCTTTCTCCCTGCTGCAGCGCCGGCGGCCTGGTCACCGCGGTAGCGCCGGTCGTCATCAACGGAAATGGAGTCTGGGTCGGATGGCCGGGCATGCACATGGACAACCCGAACGACCCGATCCCCGAGTCCGATCCCAACGATCGCACGCCCACGGCCGGTCTGCTGTCCCGAAAGGTAAGGAGCTCCGCGCAGACGAATATTTCGCGCCGTGCCGTCTCCGTCCGCTCGCCGGCCACGTCGGTTGCGTAATTCGTTTTGCGCAACAATCCACGCGCGCGCGCGCGCACACACACACATACACCCATGCTGCAGAAAAAAATGCAAAAGAAGCGCGAAGTGGCCACTCGGGTCTCCCACCCGGCGGAAATTTTGCGAAACACGTGTTCAGTCGTTAGGAAAGTCAAGCGCGCTTCGTTATCGTCGCGCGCGTCACAGAGTGACACCGTCGTCGCTGGTTTTACCCGCGTCGCGAAATTCACCGCCGCAACCAGTCGATCGTCACGTGCGTTCGATGACGGACGTGGTGCAGGTACATTGTCCGCCCAAAAAAAGTATTCTATTCGTAGAGTGATTTTTCCCATAGTCTTATATTTTAAGCCTCATAGTCTCATATTCGAAGCCTTTTTCCAAGTCTCATAGTCTCATATTCGAAGCCTTTTTACAGAAAAAGGATTCCTCCTTCGATAAAGCGATTCGAATAAACCATTCATCTAAAATGTATTAGACATTATTCTAACCGTTCTTTCTTCTTATTTCAAGAGGATTTCCTCTTATATCGATTAATTTTTCTCTTGTAAGAAGAGGAATATGTTGACTTGAATATCGGCTTCTTTTTGTTCAGTCATGCTCTATCTCCAGGCATGAGCGAAAAAATAATCATATGCTCGTGGGTCAGAATATTTGGAACGCTTTTTAAAAAAGATATGTGCGTTGCTGTGACATATAACGAAGATAATTTACCCATATTTGGTCAAAGTTTGTAATCTATTGCAAGAAGTTGAACAATATATTCTTTCTTTTAACTACGTTTCATACAATTGATTATGATGAATCTTAGTAGTTATGAAGTCTAACAAACAAAACTGATTGGAAATTTATTTGTTATGATGATCTTGTTTCATCCGTGCCTACTTATTGTAGAACTAGAGTGCAGAAGTACATTTATATATATATATATATATGTATGTGTGTATATTATTTCTCGCTATACATTATAATAATTTTTTCAAATTAATCAGTATAACCAGTAAAAATAAAGTACAGTAAGAATAAATAATAATTCTCTTAAGAAAAGATTATCTGTATATAAGAGGAAATTTATATTAAAATCAATAAGACTTGCACTATATATGTGACATATAAGCCCTCTAACTTTAAGAATAATGTGTTTATAATATTTTCTTCTTAATCTTAGAGGAATCCTCTTGCGATCATATGTAAGAATAAAATCCTCTAAAATTTGGGTGATTCCGCTTGTTCTGAAATTATTTTTTTTTTTTGAGTGTTAGAGTTAGTCGAATTTGGCATTCCCGTCGCCCTCTTGAATATTGCCCTCTTTCCCACGTGCGAGTGCAGGACACTCTCCATGATGAATTTTTCAACCTGTCAATCGTTTGTCTACGTTAGCGGATGTGTATTAATTATAAATCGATAGACACTCGTCACATGCCGGATTGCTATCTTTTGAGGCTGACGTTATGAAAACTCTTTGGGTTCTTGAGCAATGTTGCATTTAAATCTACTGTGTGTTTATGTATACGTATATTGTTCCTTTCTTCTTTTGTACCATCATTTTCGTCCTGTTTGTTTTTAGATATGTAAATTTCGACTTCTGCTTTTCCACCTTATTTGTCATCTTTCAGTTTTCCCTCAGGCAATGCGATTGAACGTAAATTATGTGTCAAGTTGTGTCACTCAAGAAATTTTTCTTGTCAAATAAGTAAATAAACAAATTAGCGACCTCGATGCGATTGTCATTTTTTAAGGGTGGCGTTGTAGAGAATCTTTGGACTCTTGAGCGGTGTTGCATTTAAATCTACTGTGTGTTTTAAGCATATATTGTTTTTTATCTTTCTTCATTTTCAATGTTCCTCCCACATTTATCATTCTTTAGTTTTCCCTCAGGCAATGTGACGAAGCGTAATTATGTGTCAAGTTGCATTAAAGAGTTTTTTTTTCGTTAATTATTATGAAATAAATAAATAAATTATATAAATATTTTATATACTTATATAAATATAATATAAATATACATAAATATTTTATATAATTATATAAATAAATAGCAGCCTTTTTGTCTCGATGTGATTGATTTGTTCGACTCAAGTTCCGTCGAATTCCTCATCCTTCTCCCGCCGGACCTGCATTTTCCGATCCGGACATATTTGTTGCGCGCTTCTGATCCTGATAAACGGATTCCTCCGGTTGCGTTACTTGATTTTAATCAACACTTCTGATTCAAGTCACTGGAACTCAAATATGTAGGATCCAAATATAACACGTTTATCACGATTGAAGAACTCGCATGGATTTTTCCATCTAGTTTTCCGCCCATACGAGACGACGGGGCGAAAATTTTCCACAGCTCAGGTGGCCACGCTCGAAATCGTATATCTTATCGCCACCTAGTGCGCGTGATATGTCAACCTTGGCATTGACAACGCGCTCATATCTTGTAATCGCACAGCAAGAGTAGTTACGGTTCCCCTTCTCGGCCAACTTGTAATATTCCATACCGTCGAGCGACTCGAAAACACCACCGTTTGCCTTTCGCGCCGGTAACCGCTCTCGATAACGGTTTCAGTGTCTCTTTTTCTACGATATCTATGTGGCAAGCGAGAACGACGCTACCTACCATTCAATCGACGGCAGCGCGTTGCCCCGAAAGTTTCGAAATTCGGAAAGTGAAAGGTTTCCCGACAAATCGTCATCTCGAAATTTAGGTGCCAAGACAACAGATTTGTCGAAAAAACTATGATAACAATTTTTCGACGTATTGTTTCGTTGTACTGATTTTGGTATCGCGACTTTTCGAGACGGCAGCATGCTTCCGACATTTCGAGGAAAATTTGCATCTTGGCAAATTGTTTCAATATTTAGACGTCGGGATTGCGACTTTTCGAGAAATTGCCCCATTTTTCGAATTTCGATACTTCTTTTCCAGAATGGATCTCCTTGTTTTCTCGTCGTTCTTTCTCGGGATGTAATAGCCTGTGATTTGTGAATGCAGGTCGCGAGGATCAAAATTACGAAGCGAAGTGGGAAACAATCTTGTGAATCGCGAGAGAAAATTAGCAAGATTTTAGTGAAACGGAGAATTGGCGGAGATTTAATAGAGAATTTTGCTCCCCCTGGCGACATTAAATATCGCACGATTCTGTCGTTGGATTGCGACAAAATTATATTTAGATTTAGAAGGCAAGCGACAACTCAAACGTTCAGGCACGCTGATTGGCGTTTTTATCGTGCCAGACAAATGGCGCGGGTTCAGTCTTTCGACATGCTCAAGCATCCGGAAAGCAATAACAATAACGTAACATCATGTATTATGTGCATACATTTTGTGCCTGGTCACGCGGCGATCCGCGCTGATCTTCGGATTCCTATAAATTCTTCACCTTTGAGCTTGAACTTGGATAAACATGTGTTTACGTATTTCGTATGCTGCGCTGCGTCGACGTTGTTGACGGCGTTCGGCGCTCGTGTTCGTCATCGTGCATTCGGCACTCGCGCGGTCTCTCGAGCACAGCTAAAAATCTGCAGCTTTTCGTCGCACGCTTCGAAATTGAAAAAACCTCGCGGCGGTTTCAATCGCAGCTCCGACTCTATCACGACGCGATAAGCGAAAGTTTTCAACGGTCGGGCATAATTTATTACATAAATATGTTACATCATTGGTGAGATACAGATTTTTTCTCAAGAGGAAGAAATGACGTTGGAAAGAAGAAAGAGAGAGAGAGAGAGAGAGAGAGGGAGGGAGAGGGAGGGAGAAAGAAAAGGAGAAAAGCGCGCGGCGAACGAAAATTGTCCGACGTTGACCCGATCGATCGCCCGATCGATCGGACGTTAGTCATTCCTGGATCGTTCCTGGATCGCGTGACGCCGTGTTTCGCGCGAATGGGTCCAAAGTGGCGATCCGGTGTCACGGATATATTCGTGTCGCGGGGTCGATCGCGCTCAGGGTTATCGTCGCGTGACGCGCGCGGACTTGTTACGTCCGCCCTGCTCGTACATAATCGCCGTCAGTTTTCCAACAATCGCCGATACCGCTCGCCGATACCGAGACTCGTTGTGCCACCCACGCGATTGCTCGCGATAGAAATCGCCGGTAATTAACATAACACTTATGGCCGATAGCCGCGCGCGATCGCTAATCGACGCGCGACGGTGATTAGAGTCCGTTCACAGGCTGCGTGGCGGCGGCGGCTGCGATGATAATGATCATCGTTATCGTGGAAATTTTCAGGCAGCGCGCTGCGATGTCGCCTCGTCAGACGCTGTTTATCGTTCACCGTGAAGAAGACGACGTTTCGTGAAAACAAATCCACTAATTTATCTTCCTTCCTTGTTAGTCCTCATATTTCTCTGGATTCTTTTTACCTTTTTCTCCCTCCCTCCTTTTTCAAGAATCATTTTTAGCCTCGGATATGTAAATAATAATATAATAATATAAATATTAATTTAATTTAATTATTATTTAATTATTTATATAATCATATGAATAAATAATATGTGGATATAAATAAATAATATGATGAAGTATCTCAGTATGTCGAAAAATTTGTTTCACGACTTACTCTCTCTCTCTCTGCATCTGCTTCTTTTGTTTCTACTCCTGAAGAGGAGAGACGAGTTCCTTTGGCGCAAAAAATTTGCTTCTCCGGCCGTGAAACTGTCGTCGCGTCAGCAGCGTCTCACTCGCCTCTGCACGCTCCTTCCCACTTGGCCGCCCTATTTTTGCGTCTATCTCGATCGGAACGTTCAATAATATGTTTGCATAATGCGGCGCGCATATAGAAAACAAAGAAGGAAAAAACGGAGAAACAAGGGGGAGAAGTCGACTATCGTGTCACATGCTCTCTCGAGTCGCGGCGCACCACGCGGGGCGCGCGATAAGAAGCAATTAAAATGTTTTCTCGTCGCGAGCTATTTCCCAAATGAACTGCTGGACGAAATAGCGGAGCTATTCAGATTCCATTGCACGGCGAAATCAAAATCCCGCAGGCGCGCGCGTCGCGCTCTCTCTCTCTCTCTCTCGTTCGCTTACCGTCAGGGATCGCGGTCGCCGTTTTCGGCTCGTCCTCGCGGACTCTGCGAGTTTTGCGTTATTCTGCGTTAATTGCAATGCTGCCGATTCACCGAGAACACGGCCGGACAATGGCGATCGATCGCGATTTCCAAGCGCTACTTCACCGGACCTCTGTCGATCGCGTATCGCACGCGTTCGTCGTAATAGGAAACGTCGATTGGCATTCACGCGCGCGGTTGGGACTCGGTGTCGATTCTCGGCAAATGCAAAATATTCTTGCCTCTTGCTTCGTCTCGACTTGCGAGTCGAGGGACTTTGACCCAAGAAGCAAGAATATTTTACATTTGCACGCGCCGATGCGAGCCTCGAATTTCTCGTATTCCTCGGAGTTCCGTGTGTTTATTCTCTGCATTTTGACGCAGCGAAATCTCACACTCGAGACGATTCACAGTCGAAGCGGCCGCGAAAATACTGACTGATTCTCCGAATCACGAGAATGTGTACTCGAGCTCATTCGAGCTCAAAGCGGATTCTTCGTTCACACGAGTGGGCCGCTTCAACCGATCGGAATGAGTCTGCTCGCGTGATAATGGAGCGCGTTGTAGCGAGTTTTCTCAATTCCTGGAATGCAAATCTTCACTCGAGAGCGGAGGGATTCGCGATGGACACGCGTGAATGAACAATCACTCAATCTCCGCGGCGACTCGGTTTGTCGTTCCAGTCTCTTTCGAGTCTTCTAGAAGCTTCGAGCGCGCAACGTCACCGGGACGTCCGACCAGTCCGACCTGGCCGATCGAGTCGTCGGAGCTGTTACAGCATTGCAACGAAATCGATTTGCGCCTTTTTGCAGCTCGATAATCAGCGAGAGTAAAGGCGGCGCGCGAGATAATTCCGACCTCGCCCGAGGCTCGTTAAATTAAAATCGATCGAGGTTATCGCCTGTTTCCATCCGATCCCGCCCGATTAATGAAACTTTCGGTAAAAATTGATACGCTTTATCGCGCCGCGATTGAGCAAGCTCCGACGTCGACGTCGAAGCCGTCGGCTCACCGCGCTCGCTGACGGCGATGAAAATCCTCGTCCCGCCCGCGCCGGGCGCGCCGCGGCGTGCGCGAGCGAGGAAAAAGGGGCTCCCGCTTTCCCTGACCTCTCTTAATTAATGTACCCACAAATAGCGATATCCGTGAAAGAAACAAGCGATCGCCGCGAACGGTTGTGTCTATCGTAGAAACATTAAACGTCTTATCGTACGCCGGCGATTACTCGCTTGCGTCAGGCATGTGATCTCTCTCTCTCTCTCTCTCTCTCTCTCTCACAGCCTGTTTTCACACTCGGATCGGAAATAAAGGAGACAGTGTCGCGGGCAAAATAAGCAACTTGCGGGGGGATAACACGATTGCGACGGCAGCGATACTTTAACGAGCAGCACGAGGGGTGTCTCTCGTTCCACGAACCCCCCGGCCGACCACGACGATGATACGTCGTTATCGCGGACGCACGAAAGCCGACTTTCATTATATACACATGCACTTCCGATCCGCGCCGGTATTTACCGGTATTTATCCTTGTCCCATTTCTTATTATCTCTACCTGATTTTCTCGCCGGACGCGCTCCGTTCGATCTTGCGCCTAAGATCGTCTCTCAAGTTGGTTTTCAGACGATTCATCTTCTAGTTCTAGTTCACCGAGCCAGCTAGCCAGTGAAACGATCTGTGCTGCGTCTGAGGATGATCTTAAATGTACAAAATCTGAAATATCGGCTCACGCTGACGTGCGAACATTTCAAGAGAAACGATGGATAATTATGAAGGACTCGCTCTTGTAGTATTCCTTTTTCAGTGATTGATCGATTCGACTTGGCCGAGTCTTGAAGAGACTCGGGAATATTCCAAATTTATCAGAATTATTTAGAATTATTCAGGATTATTATAAACACGCAAAAAAAGTAATTTTAGAACAAGCGGAATCATCTAAATTTTAGAGGATTTTATTTTTATATATGGCTTTAAGAGGATTCCTCTAAAATTAAGAGGAAAATATTATATAAACGCATTATTCTTAAAGTTAGAGAAATTACGTGTTATATATATGGTGCAAATCTTATTGATTCTAATATAAATTTCCTCTTATACACAGATTATTTAATCTTTTTTTAAAAGGGTTATTCTTACTTTATCTTACTTTATACTGGTTAATTTGAAAAAATTATTATAATGTATAGCGAAAAGTAATATATATATTATATATATATATATATATATAGATGTACTTCTGGCTCCAGTCCTACAATAAGTAGGAACGAATAAAATAAAATCATCATAACAAATAAATTTCCAATCAGTTTTGTTTGTTAGATCTCATAGCTACTAAAATTCATCATAATCAATTGTATGAAACGTAGTTAAAAGAAAGAATATATTATCCAACTTCTTGTAGTAGATTATAAACTGTATTTGACTAAATATAAATAAATTATCTTCGTTATATGTTACAGCAACACACATATCTTTTTCAAAAAGTGTTCCAAATATTCTGACCCTGATGAGCATATTGGTTATTTTTTCGCTCATGTCTGGAGATAGAGCATGACTGAACAAAAGAAACCGATTTATTCAAGTCAACATATTTCTTTTCATATAAGAGGAAAATTATATAATTATAAAATTGATATAAGAAGAAAGCCTCTGGAAATAAGAGGAAAACAGTTAGAATAATATCTAGAAAATCTTAGACGGGATCACTTTAATCGTTTTATCGAAAGAGGAATCCTTTTTCTGTAAGAGGCTTCGCTTAGAATATGAGACTGTGGGAAAAATCACTCTACAAATAGAATAGTTTTTTTGGGTGAACAAGTCTTTCCTTGAGGGAAGAGGAATCGCAGGAAAGTTTTTTTCATTTCAAGCGTCTGAGCTTACGCACAATATAGCAATACGCACAAATGTAGCAACCGGCACACCTTGCCAAAACACTCCGCGGTAGCCTCCGGCGTTGTCCGGCGCGCGATCACTTGCCTCCTACAGCCTGAATTAATTCCCGAAATAGCGGCAAGGATACGCGGCGACGCGTCATATCGCGAGCGCGCCGAAAGAAACGCCGACTTTTCAACGCACCCACCATGAACTAAGGAATAAGGGGACGGAGCATAAGCTATAGCGGGGTAGCACGTTCGCGGCGGGGGGGGGTCGCCATTTTCGTTTCTCTTATTGCGGTCCACTTAACGCTTCAATACATTTGTAGCATCAAGTAGACCGCTAAGTAGACAGCTTCAAAATAAAGTTTAAATCGGTATTTACAGTCGGATCGTATATTTTAATATAATCACCTTAAGTTCATTTTTAGACGCTGTATGGATAGTTTTATTAGCTAGCAAGTATCTGAGGATAAATTTCAGACGATCTTAAATATAAAACTTACATAAAACTATCGCTCATAAAATTATAAAAAATCACATTACATATTGCTTTACATTCAACAATTTTATTTAGTACGCTTTAATAAATAAATGTACAGTAAATGACAATATAATGAATCTTTAAACATTTACATTTCTTAAAATATTTTAGAATTTCTAATTTGTAATTATTTAAATATTTATATATCTAATATTTTTATATAGCAATTATATAGCAAATTATATAGCAAAATATAAAAATAAAATATAAATATTTATATAAATATTTATATTTTATTTTTATATTTTGCTATAAGATATTAATTTTCATAATTTATATACACCTAACCTCTTAGTCACAACATTTCATAGACACGTGTCTATGTGTGAACTGGTAGAAACCAATATGGCGGAAAGAAATTCCCTCCGCATGCCTGAGTTTACACCCCTCTCGCCGAAATAATGCTTTTATGCTCCGTTCCTCTATTCCTTAGTCCATGGCACGCACGCACGCAGCCTCTCATCCCTCTTTTTTTCCAGGTGGTGGCGGTGCACGTCGACCCCGGCATCTTCGATTCATACTACAACGGATGCTGCAACGGGACCTTCTGGCCTCTCTTCCACTCGATGCCAGACCGGGCGACCTTCACCGCCGAACATTGGCGCGCGTATTCCGCGGTCAATGAACAGTTCGCGGAGAAAACGGTCAGTGTTTATATGCCTGTCACATCGTGATTGATCGCGACCTTGTGATCTGTGAAACACGTTCTTGTCGCGGCAAAACGCTCTAATCGGATCCTCTCCCGGTTCCCGGCCGCGCGGTTTCTCTCATCGGCTTGACGCACTCCTAATTATACTAATTGCCGATGTAATTACCCCGCAAAAAGATCCCCTTTGCAGACACATGGGTATCGATTAAACAAGAAGCTTTGATACGGAGTTCTCGACTCGTTTCTTTTCGATGTAAGACAAGATCCAGCGAATTGGATCAGTCATCTTCGTGAGCGAGATATCGCGTATTTCGCAAGCCCGCAAGTCGAGCGATTGTTCGTCGTTTTGGCTTTCCCAACCGCGAATCTGTGTGGGTGCAGGTCGGCGCGTTGGAGCAGATCCACAAGGAACAGGTGAACCAGTCGAACGGCACGCCGCTCGTGTGGGTTCACGATTATCATCTGATGCTGGCCGCCAATTGGATCAGGCAGGCGGCCGATGAGAAGAACCTCCGGCTGAAGTTGGGCTTCTTCCTGCACATACCTTTCCCACCGTGGGATATCTTCCGGCTCTTCCCATGGGCCGACGAGATCCTGCAGGGCATGCTCGGTGAGTTGCGGAGGCACTCCGGGTGTGAACTTTCTCAGGGCAGTTCGTTGCGAATCAGATCCTAACGTAACTCCTGTAACGTCTAGGATGCGACATGGTGGGTTTTCATATTCAGGATTATTGTCTGAACTTCGTCGACTGCTGCCAGAGGAGCCTCGGCTGCAGGGTGGACCGGAAGAATCTGCTGGTCGAGCACGGCGGTAGGACGGTGCGTGTGCGACCGTTGCCGATCGGCATTCCGTTCGACCGGTTCGTCTCGCTGGCGGAGACCGCCAACAAGGTGATGCAGTCGAATCAGAAGATCGTCCTCGGCGTCGATCGACTCGACTACACGAAGGGCCTCGTCCACAGGCTGAAGGCCTTCGAGATGCTGCTGGAGAAACATCCCCAACATCGCGAACAGGTAATTCTTGCTTTATTTTACCAACGGGAGGTACCCTTCTTCTTCTTCTTCTTCTTCTTCGAGAACGGGAAAGAGAATGTGAACAGTTGAGATAAATTGCCATTCACCTGCCGCGTCTTTGGTGACTCAAACTCAACTCGAGCACTGGGATAATGATTGCTGGAAATGAGGGTAGCATGCAACGCGTTGAGAAATAAGTAACATCTCATCCAACGGTATATACATGGTAGTTTGCGAAAGAGAGTAGGAGAAATGGCAGAACCGGGTGAACAGAAACGATAACTGAGACGTTAGCTCAATGACGGTCTTAAATAGCCGGCTGAGTAACATCCGCTCAACGTCCGTCCCACAGGTGACCATGTTGCAAATCGCGGTGCCGTCGCGCACCGACGTCCGCGAGTACCAGGACCTGAAGCTCGAGATGGACCAGCTGATCGGCTGTATAAACGGTCGTTTCACAACGCCCAACTGGTCGCCGATCCGCTACATCTACGGCTGCGTGAGCCAGGACGAGCTGGCGGCGTTCTACCGGGACGCCGCCGTCGCCCTCGTCACGCCGCTCAGGGACGGCATGAATTTAGTCGCCAAGGAGTTCGTCGCTTGTCAAATCAACAAGCCGCCGGGCGTGCTGATAGTATCGCCGTTCGCCGGGGCCGGCGAGATGATGCACGAGGCTTTGATTTGCAATCCTTATGAGATCGACGAGGCCGCGGAAGTGATTCATAGGTACGCGGCTAGTTTTGCTATTGCGAGTTGATTTCGCTCGCGCGGCGGAGGTCGCGATGAGCGGGTCTGGTCGAGAAGCCGCTCCACCGGCATGCTGGCATGTCGGGTGACCTTGGTCCCTCCATGTCCGCGTCTGTAGCGACTTCAGCGATTTTAGCGCTTTCGCATTCCCAATAGAGCCCTCACTATGCCAGAGGACGAGCGCACGTTGCGAATGAACCATTTACGCCGACGTGAGAGAATCTACGACGTCAACTACTGGATGAAGTCGTTCCTGCAAGTGATGGGGTCGCTCGAGGAGCACGACTCCGTAGGCGCTACCACGATGCAGCCCGTGACTATGGACGACTTCGACGACTACTTGAGCAAGTAGGTGTCAGATGTGTTAAAAGATGTGCATGACTGGGCCCGACCAGCGCATGCGCTTTGAACGGAAGAGATACTTGAATGGAACAATGTATAGCACACATGATTATATATCTAAGGAGAATACTTTAATCGCATATATATATATATAAGATCAAGATTCAAAAGCAATTGTACCTCGTGCTAGTCCGGCGGTTCTCAAACTGCGCTCGCAGAGTAATCGATATAATCACGTGATTTCAAAAAGTGCGAAAATGAAGATGAAGATGAGACAAGTGCGATATGTGTCAGTGTTAACGCGTGAACCGGCGAAAAACTCGGGCGTCGCGCGAAGAAGTTTGGGAGCCACTGTATTAGTCGACACTTTAGACTCGTCTTAAGGTAGTATTAAGTACACAAAGACACACACTTGACGCTACGCTTCTGACACTTTTAAGCTGAGCATGAGTTTGGGTACGTCGCAGCGTGGCGACATAATACGACATGACTGCCGGAATGTGCTTCTTTCATGACGCCGATTGCGAGAGCAATTTGCTACACGTGGGATATTGAGCCTGATATCCTATCCAGATATCCTCGCGATTCTACAAGCAAAGCATAATACATTGAAAAAAAACCGCAAGTGCCGATGGGCGTACAAGACAGAGAGCGAGAGAGAGAGAGGGGGGGAGAGAGAGAGAGAGAGAGAGAGAGAGAGAGAGAGAGAGAGAGAGACCGACGAAATGCTTTTCCGAAGAGACGGCGGGCCCGCGCGTGCGAATGTTACCTAACTCATGACGAAAGCCAGATAACGATCCAGTGATAACACATGTCCCCTAGGTACATCGGTGATAATCACAAATTGGCGCTTCTATTGGATTACGACGGCACGTTGGCGCCCATCGCCACGCACCCCGACCTGGCGATCTTGCCGCTCGAGACGAAAAACGTGCTACAGAGGCTGTCCAACATGTCGGACGTGTACATCGCCATCATATCGGGCCGAAACGTGAACAACGTGAAGTCGATGGTCGGGATAGAAGGTATCACGTACGCGGGCAATCACGGCTTGGAGATTCTGCATCCGGACGGTAGCAAATTTGTTCATCCGATGCCGGCCGAGTTAGAGGACAAGGTGGCCAGTCTGATGCAGACTCTTCAAGAGCAGGTACGTTCGCCGGTCCTTCGCCTTCGCCGAGTCGAGCCGAGCGACTCCTCCGATCTCCTCTCGCGCGTCTAACTAATTTGTCGCGTCTGTTTGTCGCCTGAAGCTCTGCAGGGACGGTGCGTGGGTCGAGAACAAAGGTGCGCTCCTGACCTTCCATTATCGCGAGACCCCGATGGAGGGCCGGCCAAAGATGGTGGACCAGGCGAAGAAGCTGATCGAGGACGGAGGTTTCAAGGCCTGCACCGCGCATTGTGCCATCGAGGCGAAACCGCCGGTGGAGTGGAACAAGGGTCGCGCTTCCATCTACATCCTGCGCACAGCGTTCGGTCTGGATTGGAGCGAGCGCATCAGAATCATATACGCCGGCGACGACGTTACGGATGAGGACGCGATGAAGGTGAGGCACATTGTTCCCCATTTCCGCTCGAGCGAGCGTGCGTTATATCTCCGTTCCGCTAGAATAGAAAGCACACTAGATAGAGTGCCGACCCAACGATCGTCACGCCGGCATTCTCACCTTGGTTTTTGCGCAGGCACTGAAAGGTATGGCGGCAACTTTCCGCGTGGCGTCCTCGCACATCATCCGTACGTCCGCCGAGAGGCGTCTGCCCAGCACGGACTCGGTGCTCACGATGCTCAAGTGGGTCGAGAGACACCTCAGCAGACGCAAGCCTCGCAACAGCATCGACATACCGGGCATCCCGTCGAGATTTCGACGCAGCAGCGGCGGCATCACCATGGAGATGTCCTACACCCCGCCAAAGACAACCCTCGAGTCCTAGGCGATGCTCAAACGTCGTCCGTTAGCATATCAACCGTATACCCGGCGCGATATATATCTGTCATAGGGTTATGATGTACTCGTAGCGTAAAGCTAAATCGACAGAGACGGAGGAGCAGCAGAAAAAACAAAGGCAGGGATCACACAAGTAATCCGGGAGTAGACTCATTAGAAACGAAGAAGAGGAGGAGGAGGAGGAGGAGGAAGAAGGTCAGTGGGAAAAAACATGTTGGAGCGCGAGGCTGACGAAGCGTCTGCTCGTCTCTGAATCGTATGTACCACATCGAGCGATAGACGCACCGAAGAGACTGTGAAAAGTCGAAGGAAATGGGAGCGGTTTCTTTCCTAATCTCTAGATAACAAAACAAGCATGAGCGACGTTCGCAAGACCAAGACGTGATCGCCGTCGACGGGCGCGAGCGAGCCGAATTATCTCGCCGATTCTTGTAGCTTTCAATGTCGCTCAATGTATCTTTCGAGATATCGGCCGGCCGACTTCGGCCCGAGAAGAGAAACAAAAAATGCTGCACGAGGCACGCGACATCCGGGATCAATGTTTTCCACGCGACGGACGCTTCCACTTTTGTTGCTCTACCGCGGCAGAATGTATGCGTATGTTTTGATTCTCTTCCGGTGTGTATCCTCGCTGGATTGATCGTGGGGAATCGTCGCCTCGAGTGGCGATATCGCATTCGACATCTCTGCGGTTCGCAGCATTAGATTCTCTCGATCGCTAAGACAGATTTCTGCCAACAGCGTGCGTGCTAAAAACATATGAAAGTAAATCAGAGACACGTCGAATCGATTCTAGGATAGCACGTAGAATAGTAAGTCTCTCTTCAGGTACAGTCGACTCCCCGGGCTCCTTCCCTCCCTTCTTTCTCTTTCTTTCTTTTTCTATCACGGACGCTAATTGTTAGACTCTGGATAGCTGTGAGCTAAGGACGCGGACTCAGCAGGCCCCATCGTTCTTCCGAGAGGACGCGCGTTCGCACGTTCGAGTTGTGCCGAGTATCGAAAAGCGGCCGCGCTCACAAGCTCATCGGATTTCCATCGTGAGGTCGACCTCGCTGCGAGACAGACACGCGATCGATGGAATAATCACTGTTAAGACTAACGTGTCCCATGCGCGTACGGTAGGGACAGGAACGTAGCTTCCAACGTTGAAGAGCCTGTATTCCTTTCTGTTTGTTTTCTCCTTCGCCAGCTGTTGATTGCAATCCACGAGCGAGCGACAAGAAAACCGTGTCAATCTTCCGATGTCTCGTGTCGCGCGGCATGCGGCGAGCACCGTGTGGATAAATGTCGGTATATATAAGAGAGAAACTAAAGACACGCACGTGCGCACATATATACATACATACACACATACACATACCCAGGCACATATTACAGAAACAAGAATAATACACGTTGTACGCGTACATGTGAAAAGTCCAAGCGAAATAGATTGAAATTATATAGATTTTATACTTTTTCTAAAAGTAGAATAAGAGAGAGAGAGAGAGAGACGCGCGACAGGCTCGATTGGCGCAGGAGAGAGATTCGATGAAGTTGCGTCAGTCCTCTTTCTCTCTCCATACGCGAAGATTAGCAGTGACAGATAAAACGACCACGTATCCACGTATTCCGTGTAAAACGTGTAGAAATATGCGTTGTCCGTTTCTTCACATCACTGGATAATACTGAATATAAACTGGTGCGAACTGGCGGCGCGTATCCGTCTCTTGTCGCGAGCTCCTCTCGGGGAGGACTCGTCCCCCCCGTGGGAGCGTTAAGCCCGTATCAGACTGCGTTTTGGAGATTGCGGCTCGGCTAATCGGGACAAAGTGAGTCGAGGTCGAGATTAGTCGACTCGTCGAATTCTGGACGGTTATGTTTGTAATTATTGTAATCGGCAACTCTCAATCTCCAGCGGCTGATTTGATGCGAGCTTTACGGGTTGGTGTTAACAGCGAGTGAAATCCGTCGACGGGGAATCGGCGAAAATTCGAGGAATGTCCGGCGAATATGTAGATGCGTATCTATGAAACCGAGCAACACCATTTCGTTTTGAAATAAAATGTCGAGGCGCACGAATAAGATTGTCGTAATCGGGCAATGCAGCATACAGAACATTCTCATCGATCGACGTTGTCCTTGCCACTCAGCTTCGGGAAACGGAATACGTTCCTCTCGTATTCGGCTCTCAGAGCGCGACGCCGCGTTTTATTCTCGATTAGTTTCACCCTCAGTCCTCTCTTGGTTTCCTCGACGTCTGCAGCATCCCTGACGGGAGCGATCGACGATCGCTACGCGTATCAGCTCCGGGATCGTTCTCTCTTCACATAAAAAGCGCAGGTCAAACTCCAGTAATCTCGCACTTTCGCCTCTGTATTTATTAGTCAATTACGGTTAATCGCTAGTCAATAAATAATGAGCGAGGCGGGAGGACGTTCGGGAGAATGAGGGAGAAGAGATTGAGACGAGACGGAAAAGGGAGGGGGGAGAGAGAGAGAGAAGAGAAAGAAACGAAAGGAGGGCGGGTAGAAAGGAAGAGGAGGAGCAGCCGGTAAAGAGAGCGAAACAAGTGTAAATTATGAGCGTCGAGTCTACGCTATCGGACACACAACGCGTAATGTCATATCTGTTGAAAGTACACGAAGAAAGAAGAAAAAGAAAAAAAAAAGTACTTATGTACATATATGAGATATATATGTGTAAATATATGTAGAAATATATGTACGTGCCCGCGCGCCGCGCGCGTGCACACACACACACACACACACACACACACACGTCCTACGAATGTGCCTTTAAAGCCAAATCTCCCCACTTCCCCCTTCTATACAAAGGAAAAAAAGCCAAAAAGAAAGAGGATGAAAAGGAAGAAAAAAAAAGCAGACACGAGCTATTCTACGTTTTGTATGAGTACTTAGTTTTTACCTCGTACGTTATTACTACTATTACTACCACTACTATACCTACCATACTTACTGCTACTGTTATTACTGTTACTACTATTACTACTACTACTATTACTACTATTGCTACTACTGTGTAGGTGTGTATAAAAAATGCAACGCGCGAGATAGCGGGAATAAACGACTAAAACTGGTGTGCTCCCGTTACTGTAAACCGACTACGAAACGCAGCGCGAAAATAAACATCCTTTTTAAATTACTTGTGCGTTTTTCTCTCCCTTTTTTTGGTGCGCTACGCGTGAGAGGAAGGAGGAGCAGTGAAAGGGAGCGAGAAAGAGGAGAGAGAGAGAGAGAGAGAGAGAGAGAGAGAGAGAGAGAGAGAGAGCGGTTGCACATTAGATTTTATACGTGAACTTAATTTACGACGTAATGCAACCCCACATTTGATTTCCGCAATCGTCGGGCAAATAGACGTCGAGAAATATAATATTTATTCAGCAAGAAAGAGAGAGAGGGAGAGCGAGACTTAATCGATTTCCGATGTAAGAGGCTCGAAATTAAATTTTCCCAGGTGTTTTGATTCCATCGATGCGGCGGGCTATATTATTCTCGAGTCGCGCGAGCGGTCGAGTATTTGCACGCGCGATTCGACAGAGAGAGAGAGAGAGAGAGAGAGAGAGAGAGAGAGGGAGAGAGAGGGAGAGAGAGAGAGAGAGAGAGATAGAAGGAGAGAAGGAGAAGAAGAAAAAGACGTTGTTCTTTTCTTCCTCCCTCTTCGAGAGCAGTCTCTCGCTCGGCAACAAATAACGATAGGAACGCCTGGTGCTCGCGATATCTCGCGTTTGCGTATCGCCGTTATTTTTCACAGCGTAACCTCTGATGCCGAGGCGTATCTCGGAGCCAGCGATTAAAAGTGTTTTTTTTATAAGCGTGTCACTGATGTGTGCGTGCAGCCGAGCGGAGCGCGATGACGCAACGGACCGTTACGAGAACGCAACGGATAATAATAATCGACGTAGGGGAGCCCGGGAAAACACGCGCGCGGCTGATTTTTATTGTTTTTTTATTTACCGTTTCCCGATCGACCGTGGCTCGCAAACGAGGTGTTAATGTCTCTATTTGTATTTCTGATTTTCCCCGCGCGCGTAATATCGCGGTAATTTATCGAGAAAAAAGAAAATTCCATGAATGCAGAGTGTAATTTAAATTGGCCGCTTTTCTTTCTTTTTTTCCATTCTCTTTTCTAATTTTTTCGGCCACACTCGCGCGGCAGCGCGACCTCTCGTCGACGGTCTCGCGAGAGCTCCGATAAACGAGATCTCTCTCTCTCTCTCCCCCCCCCCCCTCTTCCTTTACCCTTCCGTTCTCTCTTCAAATACACACACGGACGCCCGAATTAACACGTGTCCCCGCGAAGTGAAGGAACGTCGAAAGCGACTCGAGGATTCCGTGGCGCGCGTAATCGAACAAGGACCCTCGATACCAGCCCTTTGAGGCCCAAACGGCGGGGACTCGATGTCGTCGAGACGGCGTTGTCGATTCTGTTGGAAACATCCAAATATTTTCATTAGAGGCCCGTTGTGCGGTACCGCGCGATATTCATAGGGCCCTTACCGACGGAATTGATCGGGGGCCGATCGACAAGCTTTCACGCTGGATCCGTTACCGATCCTTCTCTTCCTCCTTCCCCTCCTCCTGAAGGATGCTAGCCTGACGATCCTGCAGTCGTCGTATAAAGAGGCGGATTACACGGTGTCCATTTCAGCCAGCAACAAGGAACTGGTGTTTGCGGTAAGTCTTCTCTTATTCCTCCCCGCTCCCTCTCCGCCGCTTCGTCGTCTCCGCTCCCCCCCTCTCACTCTCTCTCTCTCTCTCTCTCTCTCTCTCTCTCTCTTTCTGCTTCTCTCGGTGCTAACCTCCGGTCCTCCGGGCGTATACGAGCCAGTAGGGAGCATTATCTTCGCTGTTTTGCCGATTCAATTGTGTGTGCGGAGAAAGGCGGCGTTTAACAAGAGTTTAATAAAAGGCAAACAGCGCGGGGTCGTCCGTTTCTCTCGCGTCGTCCTCGTTTCTTCCGCCCCTGCGCGCGCGAGATCTTTCTCTCTTATTCCCTCCTCCCTTTTCTCTCTCTCTGTCTCTCTCTTTCTCTCCTTCTCTCTCTCTCTCTCTCTCTCTCTCTCTCTCTCTCTCTCTCTCTTGTTCTCTCCTTCGCTCCCTTCTCTATTTCGTTTCCTTTCCCTGTCCCACCCTCGTCTCGCCCCGTCGTTCTTCCACGAAGGGATTACGGGAAAGCCGGCCTGTCGGCCCGCCGAAGAAAAGAGGGAACACGCGAAAGGAAAGAGATTCGAAAAAGGATCACAGCTGCCACGCACCGTTGGCCCTACCAAGAAGTACTGATTCCTCTCTTTTCCATTCGCATTTCTGTTTTCGCCGATCCGCGCGCGGGTGGACGACCGATAGAGCGTGCACGCTTCTCTCCCCGCGGAGGGGGCGGGGAGGGGGAGCAGAAGAGGAAGGAGGAGAAACCGCGATGTGGATGGACGGACGAGCGGGCATACCTTCTCGATCTCGTGACGCTTTCGGAAAGCTCATCGATCGAGATTGAAGAGCTCATCTCTCTACCTTGCTCTCCTCCTCCCCAGCCCCGAACGCAAACTGTCTTACGAGGGAATATAAATGATAAACAGCATCCTCCATCGATTACGGTGGACGTTGTACGGCTGGCAAAGATAAGAGAAACGTTTGGTCTCACACGCGTCGTCTCGCATATTCCGATGATGATTCGATGAAATCAATTACGAGCGGCCGTCTTGGAAGAGACGAGGCTTGGAAGTAGCTTGACGAATGTAAGATGTTAGAGAGAGAGAGAGAGAGAGAGAGAGAGAGAGAGAGCAAAGTATTATGATATTTTTAGAGCACTTTACAATTCTCTGCAATTAAGCTTCCTGGAAACGTTATGTTTCTCAGCGCGTTGTCTTACATCTTATTATTTGTAACAAACTCCGACATATTTAGAAACTTGCCACCAGCAAACGCTTCCTTGTCAGTCGGGACTCAAGTTCTCGCGGAGCGATCAAATTCTCGTCCACCTTTCGCACAACCAGTCTTATCAAAGCCTCTTTAATTCTTTGCGGACGAATACTATCACGATTTCGTTTTTCAAGTCAGAGACAAATTGTTATCGCGCCTAACGATAGATATGAGTACATTGACCTTTAAACCCTGAATGTTGAACCTGTCGCTAAGCACGCAACAGCCGTCATATAATTGTAGATTAGGTCATTCTGAACAAAAAAGTCCTTCGTCTCTTCTGCATCTTGCAAATAAGTAAATTGCATAAATTTTCAAGTTGTCAATTAAAAGAGCCTCGAAATGTGGTCATTTTCGATATTATATTATATTAATTATTAATATCATATTAATTATTAATATATCAATAACTCAATAACTATTGCGACTTTTGCAAAATGGTACATGACTCTTCTTCTCACTTCGATCTGATTGTCTTCGCAATTTTTCGTTTCCACAAGATCCCAGACATTCTGCATATTACGTTCAATCGCTACGCGAATAAGAGTTTCACAAAACAATACATATTTTTCTTTATTCTAGAATTAAGTGGGTACTCGTCCGCAAAAAGGGTTAATTCCCGAGAAGCCCAAGAGAGGCTCGAAAAATCGCCGAGTCCCCGACTTCGCGGGCCTTCTTCTCCAGTCAGCCGCCATTCCATTATTAATCAGACAGCGTGTTCTCGAGACACACTTGGCCCACGTGCACCGTCTCCCCCTCCCCGCTTCGAGACGATCGATCGATCGTTAAACCGCAAAATCCGCCCTCCCTCTTTTCCCTATTCTCCTTTTTTTTTTGCGCCGCGGCGGAGCGAGCGCGGTCTAAGTAAGTCAGTAACCCAGTGGAAACTCGCCCGGGGCAGTCATCTCTCCACCCCTCCCCCTTCCGCAAGCCGTCCCCCGGCCCCCGGAGTGCCCTTTCGCCGCCACCTCCTCTGCCGCCGATCGATCAGGTCTGATGTAATTATCCAAACGTTGAATTTTTTATCGCGGTGAAACAATAACGCATTTTCAGAGCAAACAGCATCGCGCACCGCAGCCGCAGAAAGCTCGCGCGCCGCTCTGGGGCTTACGTCCGTGTCGCGTCCGCTTGTGCCGTCGGTGTTGACGTAACGTGTAATAGAATAATCTGCGCGGCGACGACGAGACACGTTGCGGCACGGCGCGCGGCGCGGCGCGGCGCGGCGCGGTTACACACCGCGGGGCAGAAGTACCGGCACATCTTTGTTTACCGCAGCCTCGCTTTCCACGGCCGGCGCGGCGCGAGGATATTTCTCGTGGCCGGTCCGCTTCGCTCCGCTCCGCGAGCGAGCGAGCGCGCACCCGCCAATTTGCGGAGGAGCCGCTTGTTTGGCCACGCAGATAAAACGCTTTTTTCGCCTCCGCCGGCCGCGCTTGCGCGCCCGTCCGTGCGAGCGCTCGTCGTTAATCCTTCAGTTGAGAGCGTGGCGTGCGCACATGTTCTTCCGATGCTCGTTCCACGACTATGAAAAAATGCAATGAAGCTGTGGAAGCAACTGGAAGGAGTGCCGGCCCCTCCGTGTTTTCGCCGTATGATCGTGAACCGAGAGAGACAGTGTCCAAATGGAATCTCTTTGTCTTTGTCTGTCATATGTCTAGGTGACAGAGATGTGCGAGTCAAGAATTTTTATGCCGAATCGAATCTCACTTTTTTAAATTCGAATTCGAATCAAATCGAATCTATGAAATTTCGCTCGGATTCGAATCGAATCGAATCATTAAAAAATTTAACACGACTATTATAACATGCAAATAATGATGGAAGATTTTAACACGAAAGGGAATATTGATATTGTAATATCATCTTGAAGTAAAATATATATTTAAATATATTTAAAGTAATTTATAATTAAGTTAAGTTAATTACAAGTTAAGGGTTCCAACATACACAGGCCCAGTTCCGGCCCGTTTTGTAGCTGATGCACGCAAATGATAATATATTTGATACCTATTCGAATTATTTGGATTCGAATCATAGGGATTCAGATTCGAACTGAATCTAATGTAATTCGCACATCTCTATTAGGTGAATTAAAAATTTGAGCTTACGAATGCAATAAAGTGTATACAGAACAGATACGAGGTGCGTTAAATTTAAAGTGGAAGAGTTTGATAGATACTAAATATTGTGTACAAAATGGTCACACATAGAATGTTACTGTAAAAGTAT